GAGCAAACTTCATAAAGATTTACTTTATGTTTTCTCCTAAGAGTTTTATAGTTTTAGCCTTAAGTTTAGGTGTATGATCTATTTTGGGTTAATTTTTAGATATGATGTTACATAGGGGGGCCCAATTAATTCTTTTGTGTGTGTGTGTGGTACGCGGGCCTCTCACTGTTGTGGCCTCTCCCGTTGCGGAGCACAGGCTCCGGACGCACAGGCTCAGCGGCCATTGCTCATGGGCCCAGCCGCTCCGCGGCATGTGGGATCTTCCCGGACCGGGGCACGAACCCGTGTCCCCTGCATCGGCAGGCGAACTCTCAACCACTGCGCCACCAGGGAAGCCCCCAATTATTTCTTTTGCATGTGGATATTAGTCTTTGTTGGTATATATTGAGAGGTTTACACAATAAAAAATTAATTAAAAAAAAGACAATGACAAATCATATACCAGGTAGGAACTGTGTTTAGCTGCTAATAACAACTACTTAAAGTAAGAGTGGCTTCAGCAAGATATGTTTGGGTTTTTTTACTTATTTATTTTCGGTAAAAGAAGTTCAGAAGTAGGTACAGCTGATATGGCAGTTCTATAATCGTCATTGAACCAAGATCCTGCTATCTGTTTGTTTCAACATTCCTACATGTGGCCTCCATCCTCAAGATTACCTCATGGTCACAGGGTAGTTGCTGGAACACCAGCCAACACCTCTGCATTCTGGGCAGGAAGGGAAAAAAAGGCAAAAAAAAAGGCTCTTTAAATAATTACACCTGAAACCAATTTAAAAACTTGGGTTTTCATCTCACTGGTGACTCCTGGGGTAGGGAGGCTGGGCACCTTAGCATACCCATCAATATAAGGACTCTGAAAGTAAGTCAACTGCGTATGCACAGATATCAAGTAGCCAAAGCAATAGGCCTTGGTGGAGAGTGGCAGTTGCCTACCCAGTATCTGTTCTTCAGCATCTTTAGGGGCAAGTAGGACTGAGGGATCGTGAGCTCGGTATTGCCAGAGCTTCCAAGTTTTACAGGCTTGGATTCTCCATTTTATGAGCCCTCCAGATTTTTCAGTGTTGGCAGTTAACCAAAACAAATATTTAACTTTGCCTGGGCCAAACACAATACATCTGCGGCCCATATCCCATCTCTGTGCTGCTCGTTGGCAACCCCTGCTTTCAGGTGAACGTCAGAGCCCTTTAAACACCTGAAGGGCATGGGAGCCATATTACACTTCCTCTGTGTGGCTCTGAGCCAGTGCGTGGAAGTCACGAGCACGGAGGTTTTGGCTCCGCTGTAGGAAGAGCTCCATCCGCAGAGCCGTCAAAAACAGAAGGAGCTGCCTGGGGAGGTATGAAGTTCCCTGTTGCTGGAGGTGTTTGAGCAGATGCTGGAGAACTGCTTGGCAATGACTTCTAAGGTCTCCCCAACCCCAGGAATCTCTGAAAATTACCACGATGACTACTGCTGCTGCGATGACTTGCTGAAAGGAGATGAAAAGAACGCAAGGGGCTCTGCATCTGGATTGTTAGGGAGCTGGCAGCCCCCTAGCTGCTGTGTCCCCACCCTCTCAATGACAAGGAATATGCCCTCACCATTGAGATGACCTCTAGTCAGTTTTGCCTGTAGAGACAGCAAAGGTTGACTTCCTGATATTCACAAGCGTGATTTGATTCTTCTCCACTCATTGTATAGTATACAACAGATATGTGGCTTTTCTTATGGAGGATGATCCAGGCTATTCAATTCAATTCATTTATTTATTCAGACTTTCAGGGCTGGTTTCATGGGCATGTGACCTGTGCAGGTGCACAGGGACCTGCATTCAGGAGGACCCCATGTTTGGCTTGATGCTTTCTTCCTTCAAATTATTAATCCTTTTGGAACAAGAAACTCCACATTTTCATTTTGTAATGGGCCCTGCAAATGAAGTAGGCTGTCCTCCATACTTTTACTCAAAATGTATTCACTGTCTAGCAAGTGCCAGGCATTGAGGATACAGAGCCACACCCAATGTGTTCATACTCCAGCTGGGGGCAGAGAGATGGGAAAAGCTGAGAGGTGAGAAACTACTGAGATAGCTGCTATGGAGCACACTGTTTGCAAGAGGGACATCTCACCTAGACAGAGAAGTCAGGGCACAGAGAAGGTTCTTCAGAGGAATCAAGGTCTGAACTTCAATTGTTTGTTGATATTCATGACTCTATCCTCAGAGAACTACAGGCAGGCACATGGCTGCTTAACTAAGGACTACATTTCCCAGCAACCCCAGCAGTTAGTTGTGGTCACGTGACTATGTTATCACCAATAGCATGAATGGAAATGGTGTGGGCCACTTCTGGGTCTGGACTGCAAAATATCTCAGGGTTCCTTCTCCAACCTCTCTTCCTCCTTTACCACACGGAATCCACATGTGGTGGTGACCCAGCTTCCAGCATGCAGATGACCTGAGGACCTGGGGGTTGGCAGAGTGGAGACTGGAAGGAACCTGGGTTTCTGAATGACCACAGGGAGCAGAGCTTCCCACTCACCTGGACTGCTCATCTCAGAACTGCTACCTGAACAAAAAGAAACTTATATTCTTTAAGCCGCTGCATTCTGGGATCTTTGTTAGCCTACTCTACCAAATACAGTAAGTACATAGGAGCTAGGCATGTGGAAAAAGGGAGACAGACGCCAAAGCACCCAGTCAAGAGAGAACATGGCACTTCAAGATCCTGAAGTGGTGGCTGTGAAAGGGCCGCTGTAATCAAACACCTTAGACTGCGTGGCTTAAACAACAGACACTCATTTCTCACAATTCTGGAGGCAGGGAAGCCTACGATCAAGGAGCCTGTAGCTTCAGTTCCTGGTGAGAACTCTCTTCCTGGCTTACAGAAGGCCGCCTTCTCGTTGTGTTTTCACTTGGTGGAGAGACGAAGCTCTGGTCTCTCCTCCTCTTCTCATAAGGACACTAATTTCATTAGTCATTTCATCACTAATTTCATAATTTCCACCCTCATGACCTCATCTAACCCTAATCACTTCCTAAAGGCAGGGGCACACTTCCTGAATGGGGGCAGAGGCACAAACATTCAGTCCATCACAGGTGGGAGGAAGGAAGACTGGGCCACATCTTGGACCGTGTGTGCCAGGCGGCCCTTGCCTTGGATGTCATCCTCTGGGCTGTGGGGAACCAATCAGGGAGTGACATGATCAGGTTAGCTTTTTGTTCTGTCAGCTTGAGCTGGAACCTGCAAATTTTTTAATTTATGAAGTATTTCAGAAGACCAGCCAATAGTATTGGGCTGGCCAAAAGGTTCGTTCAGTTTGCTCCATTAAGATGGCTCCAGCAGTACTTAATTGTCTTTAACTTCATTCAAAACAATTTTGTTAGATTGTATGTGACAGCTGTCATATCAGTGTGCATTTAAAAAAAGACATCAAAATTGGTGAATTTTTGTGTAGCCATTTAATATTGGAGATGAAAGAAAAAAAGCAAAGTTTTCAGCATATTATGCTTTATTATTTCAAGAAAGGTAAAAAATGCAACTGAAATGCAAAAAAAGATTTGTGCAGTGTATGGAGAAGGTGCTGTGACTGATCGAACGTGTCAAAAGTGGTTTGCAGGGACTTCCCTGGTGGCACAGTTGTTAAGAATCCATCTGTCGATGCAGGGGACACGGGTTTGAGCCCTGGCCCAGGAAGATCCCACATGCTACGGAGCAACTAAGCCCGTGCGCCTCAACTACTGAGCCTGCGCTCTAGAACCCACACACCACAACTACTGAGGCCCGTGTGCCTAGAACCCATGCTCCGCAACAAGAGAAGCCCGTGCACCGCAACAAAGAGTAACCCCCCGCTCGCTGCAACTAGAGAAAGCCCGCGCACAGCAACGAAGACCCAACGCAGCCAAAAGTAAATAAATAAAATAAATAAATTTGTTTTTAAAAAAAAGTGTTTGCAAAATTTCGTGCTGGAGATTTCTCGCTGGACAATATTCCATGGTTGGGTAAACCAGTTGAAGTTGATAGCGCTCAAATCGAGACATTAATTGAGAACAATCAATATTATACTACTCGGGAGATAGCCAACATACTCAGAATATCCAAATCAAGTGTTGAAAATCATTTGCACCAGCTCGGTTATGTTAATCACTTTGATGTTATGGTTCTGCATAAGTTAAGCGAAAAAAACCTTCTTGACCATATTTCCGCATGCGATTCTCTACTTAAACATAATGAAAATGTTCTGTTTTTAAAACAAACTGTGACAGGCAATGAAAAGTGGATACTGTACAGTAAAGTGGGATGGAAGAGACCGTGGGGCAAGCAAAATGAACCACCACGAACCACACCAAAGGCCAGTCTTCATCCAAAGAAGGTGATATTGTATATATGGTGGGATTGGAAGGGAGTCCTCTATCATGAGCTCCTTCCATAAAACCAAATGATTCATTCCAACAAGTACTGCTCCCAGTTAGACCAAATGAAAGCAGCACTCGATGAAAAAAGTCCGGAATTAGCCAACAGAAGACGCATAATCTTCCATCAGGATAACTCAAGACCGCATGTTTCTTTGATGACCAGGCGAAAACTGTTACAGCTTAGCCAGGAAGTTCTGATTCATCTGCTGTATTCACCAGACATTGCACCTTCGGATTTCCATTTATTTCGGTCTTTACAAAATTCTCTTAATGGAAAAAATGTCAAATTCCCTGGAAGACTGTAAAAGGCACCTGGAAAAGTTCTTTGCTCAAAAGATTAAAAGTTTTGGGAAGATGGAATTACAAAGTTGCCTGAAAAATGGCAGGAGGTCATGGAACAAAATGGTGAATAGGTCGTTCAATAAAGTTCTTGGTGAAAATGAAAAATTTGTCTTTTATTTTTACTTAAAAACCAAAGGCACTTTTTGGCCAACCCAATACAATGAGCACTCACATACCCAACCACCTAGCTTGAAAAATATATTACAGATAAAGTCCCCGGTATTCCCGTCCCAATCCCATCTTCAGCTTTTTTTTTTTTTTTTTTAAGGGCACTTGGAAAGGGCAAGAGTGGAAACACGACATGCATCATTGAACATCTAGTGTGTCCTCAGCACCATGCCAGGTACTATCCTTCTGTACGTCTAGAAGCAGCCACAGCTGGGTGGGAAAAAACAACCACAACAAAAAACGAAAAACTTGTGCATTCCCAGAACAAGGTGACTCCCTTCTGAGACCAGATGTGGCATGCTTGGAGAAACAAGATACAGGATTTTCTCTGGGTGGAGCACAGATCCAAGATGTGATGGGATATTTGCTCAGAATCTCCAGCCCCGGCCTACTTCTTGTGATTCACGTGCAGATAAATGGTGCAATAAAAAGAAATCTGGAATACGTCTCTGGAAGTTTTAAAGTTCTCAGAAGGACTTGGAAGGTTTTGAGTATACAGGCGGTATTCCATTTTTTCATCCAGCTGATAGCTGTGACTTTGGAAGAAAAAGGAGAGGATACTGGGAGTGAACAGCTGGCGATGTTGATGGTGTTGACGAGGGTTTCATTTCCTGGGCAAGAACCCAAGATACTGGAATAGGAGGCTCCTGGCAAAGGACAGAGAGTGTCACAAAGACAGGGAAGAACGTGTTTGGCAGGAAATTTCCAAATGGTATCAAAGGGCATTTAAAAAGATGGTCATGGGATGTGGAGGGGACAGCTGCTGTTTTCGTCTGCTCAGCAGCCGTTTGCAATCTTCTCTGAACAGCTTCTTTATCTTTGAAGGGAAACCATCCATCCTCAACTCACAGTTCATGTGGCTAAAGAGGGTTGATCCCAACCTTTGGCTCCAGAAAAAGTCAATCACAATCTCAAAGGCTGTTTCAGAACTTGGCTACGTGACCGGATCTGGATCAGTGAGAGTGGTCGCCAGGGCTTTGCTCAAATGATTGGTAATGGGGTATGCTTTCTTTCTCGCTTAGAGATGGTACATTATAAGCCTGGAGCTGCTGAATGCTACCTTGTCTAAATGAATCTGAGAAGGAAGTCAACATAGCGGAAAGCCGAATCTAATGATGGAGAGAAATTCCTGAAGACATTAGAGTTCCTGGACTTAACCATGTTTGCGGCTAGCCCTACCCCTTGGACTTCTCAGTTATGTGAACCAATATTCTCTCCCCCAGCCCCCCAGCCCTGCCTCCTGGTTTAGTGTAGTTTCTGTGGACTTGCTACCACTGATAGGAGAAAATGGAAAATAACATTTGTGATATAGACAGAAACACAGTAATAGAGACAGTACCATTATTCTTGAGCAAAAATAAAGACAGCTGGGCCAGAACTTTATTTATGGTCCTGTATGTCTATCTCCTAATGCAAAGAGTACAGGGAATGGATAAGGCAAGATTTTCATGGTACCCAAAGAAGAGAAATATAATTTCATAAACATCACTTTTGCTTGGAGGGGATTCCTAAATAGAAAGTAACAATGGAAGGATATATATTGCTCAAAAAAGGCAAATCTAATAGAAAGGGAAAATTATGTAGTGTCATCGGCAAAGAAGGTCTGTCCGTCAGGGAGGAGAGCTTTTGGGTCAGGATGAGGAGAACCACAGAACAAGGCCCTACTTCACCTCCCCCTACCCAGACCAGAGGAAAATTCCAGAACGTGCTTGCCTAACACATATCACATAGGCCACAAAACAGGGTTTTCATGGGGAATTCCACTTATTCAGACGTAAACTGGAATTCTCCTTTTGCTAAAGTTTAGACCATCTGATAACTTATTAGCTTTATTGCTAATATTTGATATAATTATTTGCTAACAGTTTCTCAGAACACAGGAGTAGTAATAGAAGATGTTCTTTTATTTAAAAAAAAAACTTTCCCACTTGAATATAAAAGGAAGACGTCCCTTTTATGAAAAATTGGATAATATGGTGGTCCAACAGCAAGCACTTATAAATCGATTTTCAGGTGTTAAGTGATGGGACTCGTATTTCATAAATAGGCTCATTTAATCTCTGCAACAATTTTGTTTTTTCTTTTCTTTTTTTTTTTTGAGTTACGTCGGCCTCTCACTGTGTGGCCTCTCCCGTTGCGGAGCACAGGCTCCGGACGCGCAGGCTCAGCGGCCATGGCTCACGGGCCCAGCCGCTCCGCGGCATGTGGGATCTTCCCGGACCGGGGCACGAACCCGTGTCCCCTGCATCGGCAGGCGGACTCTCAACCACTGCGCCACCAGGGAAGCCCTCCGCAACAATTTTAAGAGGATGCTTGTACGATCCTCATTTTGTAGATAAGGAGATTGAGGTTTAGCAAAACTAAAAAACTCCCCTAAGCCAAGCGGGTATCATAGAATCTGAACTCAGCTGTCTGGATCGATCCTAACCCCTACACTGTGCTGTGTATTTCTTCCATTGATATAAATTCCCCGTTTGATTGTATATTTTTCATTTTATAGCTTGCTTTTCTTCCTTCCACTGGGTATTATAATATGAGCACTTCCCCATTTTGTTAAAAACTCTTATTAAAGTTTTCCAAAAAAAAAAGTAAGGAGGCTAATCTCAGGGATGCCCGTGAACCCATCACCCAGCTCCAACAATTAACAAATCAAAAGCAAAAAAAACAACAAACCTCAATTATCAACCCACCTTGTTTCCTCCATCCACTCCCCACTCCATTATCTAAAGCAAATTGCAGATGTCACATCATTTTATCTGTAAATATTTCAGTATGAAATTTTAGTAATTCTTTAATAGTATCAGATATTCAGTCTGCGCTCAAAATTTCCTGGTGTAAACGTTATTGTAAATGCTATTCTAAATTTGGTTCTGAGGATGCATCAGGAGGAAGTGGTGGCTGGTGTGGAAGTGTCAGAAACCTTGCACCAACGTGATCCTGTCATTTAGGGGTTTGCAGTAGCAAATAAGGTTGCCCCCGAAATTTAGGAAACCAGATTTCCAAAAGTTCAGTAGAAAGAATTGTGTACAACTTCATCTTGAACTGCATTGTCAATGCAGGACCACTAACCACACGTGGCTATTTACATTTATGTTAATTAGAATTAAATAAAATTTGGAAGTCCATCCCTCAGTTGCACTGGCCACCTTTCAAGGGCTTGATAGGCACGTGTGGTTAGTGGCTGTCCATCATCTCAGAAGGTTCTATTGGGCAGCTGGTCTAAGAAGGAATAGTATTTATCAATATAAGGGCAGGAGATTCTAAACAATTTTAAAATATCTTCATTGATAATGGTGGAAGGTCTTGAAAGTTCACCACGCATCTGCATGGGGCACTTGACCAGCTTAACGCTCAAGAGGAAGCAGTGTACACACCTCAGGTCTCATTGTTCATTTGTTGAACTGCTCTGATTGAACTGCCCCCACTTAGCCATGCACCAGTGAGGTTGGCTTTATTTTTATAACTTACTTCCTTTTTTCTCAAGAAACCCTATTCACGCTCACCAGTGGAAAAACTGAAGTTAGCCCAATCTTATAAATATCAATTCTGCCCAGCCGCTTCCAGTTTAAAATAGTTTCATTTCAAGGAAACATTCCGTCACATTCAGATGTTGCTATTTTGTATCACATTTCAGTTGAGAGCCCCTGTCCTGGGCTTGGGAAGCCTAAGACAGCTTTGTTTATTAACGCTCCCTTCCCCTCCTCCTGGCAGCCCCTCAAGCCGGCTCCAAGGGTGTCCCCGTGGGAGGTGGAGAAGCAGGACCTCTCCTTTCTGTGCCAGGCCATGCTTCTCTGCCCGACCAGGCCCTCAGTATCCACTGCTGGCTGTGCACTTGGCTGGATCCACCTACATGGGGTCCCAGGGAGGATTTGGCTGTGATGCTTGGTACAGGCTGTGGCCCAGCAGTGTGTCTCTGTCCAGGGTCCTCATCCCCCTTTGTCCCCCCACCCTTTTCCTTACTTCTCCTTGGTGCTGAGAGCTACTAACTCAGTTTACAAGGGTACGTTGGTTACCCATTGCTGCAGATCAAATGACCCCAAAACGTAGCAGCTGAAAACAACAAACTGTTATTCTCTCACATAGTTTCTGAGGGTCTGGAATCCAGATGTGGCCTAACTAGGTGGTTCTGAATCAAGGGGTCTGGTGTGGTTTCAGTCAGGATCTCAGCTGGAGCTGCATCGCCTGAAGGCTTGACTGGGGCTGGGGGAGCCACTTCCAAGATGGCGCACCCACATGGCCATTGGCAAGAGGTTCAGTTCCTTCCCACATGGGCCTCTCCACGGAGCTGCTCACGACAAGGAAGCTGGCTTTCCCCAGACCAGCTGATCCAAAAGAGAGAGAATGACCAAGATGGAAGCGTCTTTTATATCCTAATCTCAGAAGTGACATACCATCTCTCCTGTCATGTCCTGTTGGTCTCATAGACCAACCCTCATACAATGTGGAAGGGGAGCTACCTAAGGGTGAGAAAACCAGAAGGAAGGGATGCTGGGGGTGGAGGGAGGCTGGCTACCATGTTGAGGTTCATCCAGGTGAGAATTTAGCTGGAAATCAAGCTCTCTTTTAACTTGTTCTTTTATTTTATTTATTTTTAAAAAATATTTATTTGGCTGCGCCAGGTCTTAGTTGCAGCACACAGGATCTTCGTTGCCGCATGTGGAATCTTCATTGCCACGTGTGGGATCTTTAGTTGCGGCATGCAGGATCTAGTGGGATCTAGTTCCCTGACCGGGGCTCGAACCAGGGCCCCCTGCATTGGGATTGTGGAGTCCTACCCACTGGACCACCAGGGAAGTCCCTAACTCCTTCTTTTAGAGTTAGACAAGTTGTTTTCACCATGCATGAGCTTTTCCAGGAAAGACCCAGGACGGGTCCTTGCTGCAGTTACCGTGGATACACCTACTTATAAAATCTGTTTTTATTAGAGAAGTAACATGTATTCATTGTTGAAAAGGAAAAACAAAACAGACAAGTGAAAAAGAAGATAAAAGTCATCTTTCAGTTCACCCTTCAAAAGTAAACTCTGGAGCTTCCCTGGTAGCGCAGTAGTTGAGAGTCCGCCTGCCGATGCAGGAGACACGGGTTCGTGCCCCGGTCCGGGAAGATACCACATGCTGCGGAGCGGCTGGGCCCGTGAGCCATGGCCGCTGAGCCTGCGCGTCCGGAGCCTGTGCTCCGCACCGGGAGAGGCCACAACAGTGAGAGGCTCGCGTACTGCAAAAAAAAAAAAAAAAAAGAAAAAAAAGAAAAAAATAAACTCTGACATAGTTTTACAGAATTTTCTTCTGTATGAATGTTACTTTTACAGACTCTTTTCTGTCCATTCATGCTTTTAACAACTATTTTTTGAACATCAATTATGTGTCAGTAATTCTACTTCCAAGGATTTCTTTAAGGGAACATTCAAGGCCATGAGCAAAGAGTTAGATACAACCAATTTAATCCAACACATTTACCCAATAATCTTGATGCTGTTTTACATTTGTTTGTATTTCAGACTTTTTCTTTTTCCTCATGGTTTCTGGTTCTGGGAGTTCTTGTCCTCATCTAAGTTTACGTAAATTCATTTTTAAGTGGTGGGATTTTAAAAAATCTTTCTACTTTCTTTGTGTTATAATAAAAAAAGGTATAATTATGGCCATTCGGTGTCCTCCATAGATACACTTTTCTGTCATCATTTTTTGTTCCTTTGTTCTTTTTCTCTGAATTTTGAAAACTTTTTTCAAGATGGTCCCTACACATGAATATTCCCCTCTTTAAATTTTAAAATTCTTTAGAAAATATTTAACCAAATAATTAAAGCAGACAAAATAATATTCACAACATACATATAAGATATAAACTACCATCAGCTTAGGAAATCAAACAATACCAGTATCTTAGATGCTCTTTCCTCCTCTCTGGTAAGCGCTATCCTGAAGTTTGTGGTTGTTATTCCCTTGCATTTCTTTATAGTCGTACAACAAACATGCGTATCTTTTTTTGTTTGTTTGTTTGTTTGTTTTTGTGGTACGCGGGCCTCTCACTGTTGTGGCCTCTCCCGTTGCGGAGCGCAGGCTCCGGACGCGCAGGCTCAGCCGCTCCACAGCATGTGGGGTCTTCCCGGACTGGGGCACGAACCCGTGTCCCCTGCATCGGCAGGCGGACTCAACCACTGCGCCACCAGGGAAGCCCAAGCATGCGTATCTTTATACAGTACATTGTCTAGTTAATGCATTTTTTCTGATGCAAGTGCCATCAAGTTGTATATGCTCTGCTGTGAATTGCTTCCCCTCCCTTCCTAGCATAATGTTTGTGAGACTCATCCACACTGATGGATATGGCTGCAATTAATGTTTGCTGTGCTGTAGTGTTTTATTGTGGGGTATTGTGTTTATTGCACCCCATTGTGTCAATTCTGCCCATGGACATTGGGAAATTTCTGGATTCTTGCAATTACAAACAATGCTGCGGTGAACATTCTAGTAGATGTCATCTGTTGCACACACACACAAGGATTTCTCTAGAGTAGTCATTCCCAAACTTGGCTGCACGTTGGAATCACGTGGGAATTAACAAAAAAACAACCTATTGATGTGTGGCTCACCTCCCCCCCCCCCCCCAAGACATTCTGATTTAATTGGTACAGGGTCTGACTTGAGCATCTGGGTTTTAGAAAGCAGGTTTGGAACCATTACCCTAGTGTATCTGCCTGGGAGTGGAATTGCCAGGTTGTAGGCTATGTGCATCTTCCGTTCTACACATTTTCTTACGAGGAATGTGGGAAAATTCCAGTTGCTTTAGGTCTTCACCAATATATGGTATTGTCTGATTTAAAAAGTTTTTTTGTAACATCAGTTCTACCATTTGTGAAAGGAGTGGTGATGTGAGTTTTAATCTGCTATTGTTTTTAGTTTCCTTATACTCCTTCCTTTATCACCCTTTTAATGCTACTTGTATTTATCTCAGTCTGTTGCCTTTTCACCTGAGTCTGTTTCTCCTGATGATCCTATATTTCAGAAAGGCCGTGTCTTCTTGTATCCTCTGGTGGATGCAGAAAAGTCTCCCGGAATCTACCTACTGATCCGGCAATGGCTGGTTATCAATGCCTTGCA